CTGGTAACGAAGAACATTATTTGGCCATTTTTTTAAAAATGTTTTCGAATTTGTTTGCTGATAATAGAATAAATATACTTTTTTTATTTTCATGAGTACCTACTTGATTTCTGTGTAGAAACGGAGACCATACTATTATTAATTAGAGATGGTCACATGAGGCGACGTTCCGCATTAGAGGCTGAATAAGGGACACCAGGACGTGTGAAAGACCCAGCCACATGACAAGTGCGGGGGCTGAGGAACGCTTCCTGGCCACCTATTCACCGGTTTACTGGCACCGTTTAATTCCTCCAGGCAAATGAATAGAGAGGTGTTTCGCAATGTGCAGACTAATATAGGAAGCCGTACCTGAGCCGCAGCTACAGGGTGGCCGCAAAATTACCAATCATAGTTTTTAATTGGGAATAGAGACTGTTGTCGTGGATGACTTGTTACATCCTTCAGAGTGAAGTGTGTGTGCCATCGTTAATTTATAAAGGATGTGACAAGTGTCTTCGAACTGACTGACGTTCACTTGCTAAAAAATTTGAGACATTTATTGTGGCAATATTTAAATTATTATATAATTATGTGACTTATTTTAAATTTTTCAAGTAAGACATTTTTTTCTTAGAAACACCAACCAAAGTTAGATGCACTTATCCAATTTTCAAAATATTTCTAGTTTCCAGTTTTCCTCAACCAAATTTTAGATATAAAAACATCTAAATATTACGAACAAGCAAAAATTATTAAACTATTTTTCTTTTCAAAAACGGATGCTTCTAGCGATGTTATCTAACAACGCGTTTCACTCATAGAAGAGTATGAATAACCAATATCAGAAATCATCTACTGTAAGAATACAAAAAGTTGAAACCATTTATATGAAATACCACCTATGAAATATAATAAAATAATAATCTAATTTTTGGATCCCGGAAACGAAGCATTCTTTGCTAATAAAATTGGAGACACCCTGTATAACAGTATAATTTTTTTTTATAAACACTTAAACATCTTATTGTTTTTATAAATTTTACAAGTAGGTATGTAGGCAATTTCTTGAGTAAGTTGTATTGCTCTACAACTGCTAAATGTTAACTAATTAAGAAATCACGGAAGAAAAAAGCTGTATTCTTTAATTTTTAAGTAAAATTTACAGGAACTAGGCATAGTGAGACAATAATAAAGTAAGTTTAAAAATGTGTGGATGTGGATATGCAAGAAACTTGATTGATTTAGGTATTATGAAAGTTGGACTTGTGTAAACCAGTGTAAACACGGTCTCGGAAAGTATATTATACAAAGTGTAAATGTAATACCTTTCCAAATTCAAATGACTTATTCTCGAAAAAATGTTTTTGTAAATGTGTTCAAAACAGCTTGTTCAAGTTTAAAAAGTGTGTTTTTTTAATTACAAAATGACTGATTGTGTTGATTGATTGATGTATGGGATCTCTAGGTATATTAAAAAACGGTTAACGGAAGTTTTAGACCATTCTGTTGTTTACTTTGGGATGTTCACAGACCAGCTCCAGTTTTTCTCGACTAATTTTGGAAAAACGAGAGACAAAAATGTTTTATTTTAAATTTATTTTATTTATTTATTTATTTATAAAGGCTAGTGTTACATACACATAAAAGTGTTTACACGCGACCAAAAAAAAAAAGAAAGTGGTAAATGACAATACACATAATGATAGCAATCAACTAACTGTTATACAAATATATACAAAAATAACATATAATTAAAATAAATATGATAAATTACATACTAAGGTTAATGATAACATTCATATTCGAGCTACATTACTGTCAATAAAATCTTCAAAACTATAAAAGGCATTTTTTATTAAGTATTTTTTTATCCTTGATTTAAAATTATTTTCATTAAGAATTTGAATTTGGAGAGGTATTGTGTTAAAAAATTTGTTGGCCCAATAATTAGTACCGACCCGCGTTTTACTAATTCTTAAAAATTTATTACATAAGTATGTGCTCTTTCGGGTATTATAAGAGTGAGTCTCACTTCTGATCTCAAAGTTATGTATATGTTTTTTGACATAAATAAGACATTGAAGTATATATGCACAGGGTACAGTTAGTATGTTCAATTTAGAAAACTGCTCTCTACAGTCATCTCTAAAACCAAGGTCAGATATGACTAATAGTTTTTCTCTGAAGAATAAAAACTTTTTTCATAGAGGGAGCATGACCCCATACTAAAATAGCATATGTTATGATGGATTTGATATAGCCATGATAAACTATCAGCAAGCTTGATATTGAGACTCTTCGTTTGAGACTCCGGAGTAAATAAGTATGTTTTGATATCTTGGAGCAAGCATAATTAACATGTTGATCCATGTCAGTTTAGGGTCAAGATGAAGAAGAATTTTACACGTGCTGGATTATCCCAGTTTTCCATATTCCTGAGACTAAAAATCATAGTTTCGGTCTTCGAAGTATTCAAACTGAGTTGATGTCATTAACTGTTCAAAGTTTAAGTTGGTTCTAGTTATATTTGTATCATCAGCAAAGAGTATACTTTTAGTATCATGAGGTAAACAATTAAGAAAATCGTTAATATATATCAGAAAGAGTAACGGACCCAATATGGAACCTTGTGGAACTCCATGTTCGATATTTTTTATGGATGATTTCACTTTGTTATATACAACATACTGTAATATATTATATTTCTTTTAAATGTTTAATACACACTGAATGAAATTTGTTCTTGAAAATGGCATATTTTTGCAGTAAAATGTCTGCAGATTCTAAATACAGTAACATTTTTTATTTTAGTCAGTAGCGTATCATTTATTTCGAAAATGGTTCGCTTTAATGACATTTGCATATTTCTAGATTTTCCAATCAACTGAAACTATACGCACCTGGTGGTGATCAAAGGTATTATCTTTCACGTAAAATTATAACACAATTTTGTTATATATAGATTTCCGAGGCATAAAACTAAGTTTAATTTATTTTTTTTAATTTCAACACAACGTATTCCAAATAAAGGTTGGTAATATTGCGAAGTTTTTAACTACTTTTATTGCAAGTTACTTTTAGGTCACTTATTTCAATTTTTTAATCACTTGGTTACTTTTTTGGTATTTGAAGCCCTGGACTGTGGAATATAACGTAAAATATGATTTTTTAAAATATTTTATCGATTGTTCATATATTCTATCTTTCTTATAATGTGTTAATACTAAGAAAAAAATGGATGGCTTTAGATATAAGAACCAGTCGATTGAATAAGGTCACGTGAGGGTGGACGTGCCTCTGTCTCGCCCAAACAAATAATTTCCGTCGAAAGTGGAATGTTAAGAACGCAAAATTATTTAATTAACTCGCATCGAACGCAGTCGTAGGATTTAAACGTTCGCGAGGGATTCGGCATCGCGTCGTCTGCCCCGCTGTAATCGGGGCCGAGGACGGCCCTTCTGTAAGGCGACTTTAGGAGCGTTTTTGGCATTCAGCCCGCTCGAGCCGCCGCCAGAGTGGAGCGTCAACCCCTGCTGGGCACCCAGCTTTTGTACGCTTGTCACCAACGGATCATTTGCGTCTACAAGACTCGCGGCCCTTCGTAGTCTGCAGTCGAAAATCACGTTACGCTGCTCCAAGCAACCCTCTTGAGTGTAAATATTTGAATGTTAATTCTATTAAAAAAGTGTTATTTCTTTCATTTATAAAAAAAAAGACTGTGAAGACGTAGCAACCAAACTGAATATAGTTAAATCGTAGTCACACAAAGGAATACTGACGGAATAACACATGACAGATCAGAAATTGCTGCTGTATCTGTTAAACAAATTTCAAATTTGTCCCTCCAAATACATAGGCTTCAATTGTTTCCACATTTCTTTGCCACTTCCAGATTATTTCGTAGTTTCAATACAAGTTCTTAGCAAATGAGACTAGAACAATGGAATTTAGGATACCCCAAGGTACTGTGCTGGGACCATTTCTATGTATCCTTTACATAAATTCCATTTTCCCAATTCTAAGTGATCAATTTTGTTTATTTTGCTGATGACACTGTTGTCTTTTACGTAGCAAATTCCTGGCTTTTGCTGAAAGAGAAACTAGAGAAGGAACATGATAGAGGCCCCTAAATGTTGTTTCGCTGAAGGCATTCCTAGGACCGCATCTGATTACGTATTGACAATTGAAATTAGACTAAAATTCCCGTAAAAAAAAGTTTTTGCGAAGTTCTGAAACTTTAATAGGAAATTAAATTTCACCAAAATAACTTAACTCGTAACTTGATCTAATTCCTTTCATTTTCATCCAAGGAAGTATGACGCCTTTTTTCTGGGCACCCTGTACATAAGCCGTAAGTAAGGCGTCATTCGCGACTGAAAATCAAGACTGGACCAGTTCACAGCTCACTAAATTTGTGGTGTGATGCTTTGTGTTGCCCTAGCCTTCTCGGCCAACCCCACTCAGACCTCTCACTCGCTGATCATCACATTTATATTGCATTGCTGCCCTATTATAAATTACCTACTGCATCTCGGCACTAGGTTCGTCTTAATGAACCATTTCGTTCGCTGAAAAGTCGACACCGTTATCACTGGGGCAAGTCAGTATGTCAAGTGATGATTTTAGGTTACCAAAAACTTTTCTTGATTGCTGGAGCAATTCTGTCATCTTTCCGAAGAAATATTAATTGTTAAAATTGTTGTCAGTAGTTGCCAATTGAAAATTAATTTCGATTTTGATGCTAAACAGACATTGTATATTATTATTTTATATCTTCTAACTTAATTTTGTATGTAACATTACTATGTACTTTTATAAAGAGCAGTTTCTTCAACAATATTCAGGATATGATAAACCTACACACTTAAAGCTCTGGCAATATGTAATATCTCAATTAATAAATACTTATATAAACTGTTTACATAAGCTGCTTATTTGAACTAGGAGAACTATAGCAGGTTGTAGTAGTTGTTTAGTGACGGCAAATTTTGGTAAATTCGTTGTTAATTTAATATAACACGATGGAAAATGTCTATTGTATTGAAAAAATTGGACCTAAATTTAACTAATAGCTTTTTTAATTACTTAAAGTTACGTTTAATATATTCACATCCAAAATCTGTTAACGCAATATACTTTATAGGTGTTTTAAATTAATTTTGCTATTAACATGTAATTTAATTAATCATTTGTGTTATTTTTGTTAAGATTAATACAAATTAATGAAACAACATACTCTAATCCCTGTTCATTTAGAAGGAACTTTGAATTTTTACCTTAGAATTTTGTTCTTGTAAATGCAAACTCAGTTTTTTTAACTTGTACCTATTTATATCTTTACACTCACAATCAATGTTAGATGTCTGTTCTCTTTCACCTTACCCTGTAACTTCGTCCGTTTGAATATTGTATTTTTTAAATAAATAAATAAAATCCAAGTAAAATATTTAATTTTTTTATTTTGTTTTGTAGTTTGTAGAAGTTTGGAGCTTTGGAACTATTTTTCTTATAACAACCCTCCTAGTGTTGTGATTCCAATAACCATAATCCATTTCAGCACTACCACTACTATTGGCTTATTGTTGGTAGTGCCAGCTTTGAAGCAGAATTGCCAATAACATGTACCGAACATTTCTAATTCAGAAGGTTTCAGAAAACCCGTACTATATTTGTGATATAGAATTTCAAGAAGACCCCCGCATCACTTTCTTGGAATTAACCGCATTCGACACAGAAAGACATTGTCCTGTGCAGAGTAATTTTTTAGTAAAATAAATTAATAGAGGCGAAAAATAAAAAAAAGAATTAAATTCCCAGTCGAGGACTATCGTGTCTAACGTGTACAATTATTATAAGACAAGACAACTGCCGCGGTAAATTATTACAGTAGTTCCGATAACAGAACTTTATTGGCTTATCCTTCTTTTGGAATTCTATCTCGACAAATATTGTTCGGACCGTACTAACATTATTTTTATTAGCTTTTTAATAAAAAAGTTATATTTAAAATGAATATCTAACGTTCTGAACGGGATATCAACTATGCAGTGTTACCAGTGTTCCATAAAATGAGATATCTTCATAAAGAAAGTGTTATTCAAATCTAGCTTATAAAAACAACGTTCAATTGTTCACATGATTTTCGAGACAAGCGTTGCCGTTTGAGGTAAACAAGTTAGTGCTCTGAATATCATTCTATAGTAGCGAGAATATGTATTTCTCACTCTAAATTTAATAATATCTAACTTTTAAAATCTTTTCAAGTAAGCTGTCGTTAGAAGTTATCTAAACAATTGTTCTAAATTAATTACTTTTATAGTCTTTCCGAAGTCGGTTGAGAATGTATAAAAACGCCTAGCAATAAAATTTAATGAGTTTCATAGGCGTCTCTAAAAGAGTTTTCTGCTAAAGGTAAAAATTTATAATAATTTGTATATAAAATTTCTATTATATGTTCGTTTGACCAACAACATTTTAATTATTTATGTCCTCAAACAATTTTATTATAGCGATGATAAATTTCGTTTTGTTCCGTTTCAAAAGATCTCCAAAATGTTGTAATAGTATTAGTAAACAAAATATCCCTCGTATTTCTCCCTTTCGCAATTGTAATATGAATGACTAATAGAAGGTGCCTATAACAAATTAAAATTATCTGAATCACACCAAATTCCGCATTGCTGCACTGCACTGTTAGGCCATTTGTTGACAACTGAATTTATGTCCAGGTCGCCCAGTGCGGCTGTGTTTGTGCCGCTTTGCCCGCGCGCTCATTTTTCAACTGGGCAACCAGACCTGTATATGGGTATGGCTAAATAAATATGGGAACAAGTTTTTCAAATATTGCAATTAAAATTACTGGAACCAGTTACTATTTTTTAAACTGGAACCCGTCACTAGATTTATTAGATTTATCACTGTTAAATTTGGTTGAAATTAAAATATTGAGATTTTATTTTAAATGATTTTCTTGACTTATGACTTGGCAAACTTACGCTTGATTGGTGCGCTGCTAAATATGGATATTGAAATACTTCTAATACGCATTGTATTGGCTACCAGTAGAGGGCGTACCCGGATGCCAACTGTCAAAAACATTTTGAAGATTTGAAAAATGACAGGTTCATGTGGAATACTATGTTTGGAGGCGGGAATGCTACATTTAATAATTTTACTAATGTTTCGAAGTACGAAAGCATCTCCGGTAAATTTCTAATTATAATGCTGTTAGTCGTCGGTGGATCTCCATAAGACAGACTAATAGGATGCGTAATGAGGATCAATGGCTCATTACGTCGTGATCTGAACATCAATACTAATTGGTAATTTGATGTGGCCCTGATTAGACTACCCGGGCTCGGGCCGCTTTCCGCTACGTTCCATTTTAAACAGCCTCATATCCGATTCGGCGGGCTGCTCAAAACTCTCCGGATAGACGTCTGGCAATTCCGGCTCCACCACGAGCTGCAGTCGATCCGTGTTGGTGTATTCCCCACCTAATTTAATGTTGGTCTAGTTTTGACGTTCTTTTTTCGCTGTTTGAAAGCAGCGTAATCTTACTTCTACGAACGGAAAAGAGCATAAATTGAATTTCGTACCGCAAATTACCAAATAAAGTTCCTATAAACATGTTTTCGGAAACAGGGTGTAATCATGGTGATACCTTTTTACTTTTTGACAACATTTGCGAGAAATACGAGGAATACCTTACATGTGACGATCTATCCTACATTGAGATATACAGGGTGTTTCACTTCGAGTGAATCAAACTTTAACCACAAATAGAACTCATTAAATAGTTCAGAATTGTCTAATAAAGCAAGGGTTTAAGTCTCACCGTTTTCACATTGGTCTGTTGTTAAATTCATATTATTTACGAAATCTTTGGTTACAACAAATTGATTCAAATTTGGTGTGGTGTTAACATTTACACATATGCATAATTTACTGTAAAATTTACAAATTTTTGTAGATGAATGGCGTAGGAATTGGTAGTATAGTGGGATTTTTTTACCCCAGCTTCTACGCCAATGACCTAATAATCATTTAGGATTCATTTTTTGATTCCGTGGACGATTCTACATAAAAAAGGTATACTTGTTGAAAATCGGTATAGTGTATCGTTTTACCGCAAATCTCAGTTGAATGGAAGGCCGTTCTTCTGATAAAACTTGATTATTCATCCATTATTTTACAAACACTAATATATCAAATCTTAAAAATAAAATGACAGTTCCTGATGACAAGTCTATTATTGCTTGGTTGTTTTTGAAGAAGACGACCTGAAAAATCTCAAGCAAAATGTGGAAATAAACAGATTTCTTTGTAATAGCCGTTTTTTACGTGATTAGTCTTGACAAGGGTGTTAATAAGAGAGCAAGAATACAAAATATTTTTTGAATGGTTGTAGTAACAATTTCAATGTATCAGCTAGTGGTTTTTTATTAACTGTATTTATACATACCATTTTTACTTTTTATTTTGGATGATTATTTATGTCTAACTGTTTACTAGGTATTGTCGTAGTATAATTAAATGCTGCTTAGGGCAAGTAGCTTGTAAACTAGTTGTTTTCTGCAAAATCAGCAGTTAGGAGTCTTGTCTTTTGTATATCTAGATTTCTGGTATCGAAGAATATGGTTTGACTTGACTTGATAAGATTTAAGAGAAAAATTGAATTTGTTTCAATTAGCCTAATAACTTTGAAACAGTGTAAAGTTCTAAATATGTCCATAATTTCACATCTTGCATTGTTTGTGTAGAATATTTGGGCAGTTTATCCGTTTTGGGCAGGTAAATCACACAAACATGTTGTATACTTGCATTCTTGATATTACAAATCATTTGCTTTTAATATTGTTAGATTTTTTGGATATTTTTAGCTAATTTTTCGATTTTATCCAATACCGTGTTTCTTATATTCAAAATAAGAAGCACGTGATGATAATTGTACTTGTAACTTATTCTAATAGTAGGAAAATTACATTCATTAAATATTTCTTTTCAATTGAATATAATATACCGATTGCTTAACTGAAACTAGAACAGCATATCCAACAACATGTTTATGTACTGTTTATGTATCTGATAAATAGTAATTACCATGAAATTCGTCAAAAATAAGATATTTCTAAGGGTATCTACAGGAAATAGTTGGTTTGGCAGGTACAATTCCCAAATTTCGTACAAAATATGGTCGGAATAGTGATTTATCTTCATCAACTGTCAAGAGATTAAAAAATTCAGGGAGACTCAATCAATTAGTGACCTTAAACACTCTGACCGTCCTTTAATAAGTCGTTCAACACAAAATATCGAACCACAGAGTGTTGCTGAGAGTCTAGGGACATCAATTCAGCACCGTGGTGAAGAATTGGACATTTCGAGGAGCTCTTACAGCGTATTCTCACGAAAGACTTGCATCTTGACATTTGCAAAGTTCAATTGACTCAAGAAGTAAAGCCTACTGACCAAGCAGAGCGAAGAGCGTTCGTTGAATGGATTATGAAGCAACAGCAAGTGGATGCTGGATCAATAACAGTAAATGGTGCTCGCTATCGTGACATGGTAATCCAGTGTTTGTGTCTAAATTGCAAGATATGGATGTAGACGACACGTGGTTTCAACAAGACGGTGTCACATGTCGTACAACCCGAGAAAAAATTCAATTACTGCATGAGTTATTTCCTGGTCGTGTAACTTTCCGTTTTGGTGGTCAGAATTGGCCGCCCAGATCATCTTCTTCTTGAAGAAAGAAATATTGAGCGCTATATCAACGACATTCAGTTGCATGCAAAATGGTATTAATCTAAGTCAAATATATAAACATTTTTTCCTAAACAGTCTTATCAAAGGAAGTCAAATAATGTTCTTCGACTTCGATACCAAAAATTTAAGCATGAAAATGTACCTATCTGCACAGATTGTTAAGGATAATAATTTTGAATTTATTTAATCAGAAGAAAATTACTGCTTCCGACTAACGATGGTGAACCTTTCCGCAAATATCGAATATCGCCTGCGAATATCGAT